AATATTTTGCAAAATTAATATTTCTCTTTGAAATTGTTTATGTAAAAATATCATACCACATTCCTTTTAAAAAGTTAAATTTTCGATATAATGTTTATCAAAAAATTATACGAAGAATTAAATTTGAACTTAAGTCTTAAGTCCTTTTGTAAGACGGGCCCCTGTTCATTTAAAACCCTTGCCATAAACCCCTGCCAAGATCTAGATATGGAGATATGGGTTTGGGAAACTCATTTTTAAGAAATGACATGTGATATATCATTCATGAAGTCACGGGATCTGTCCATTTACCTAAATCTATGCCAGAATCTTACAGAAACTTCTGATGTTACTGTAGATGCCAAAATGAGAAAGGTACCTAAAATTTGAAGTTTTATCGGAATAAAGAAAATTCTGTAAAATGTCCTAGTTTGGCCTTCATATAAACTTTGTATTAATTGAGCACTAGTTTCAAAGCAAATAAAAATTTAAGTAAATTTCAACCTACCCATTTGAACTCAAGCATGGGAACAAAACGAAAGTTTGAAAGAAAAACAATTAGAATACTGGCAGGCTTGGGGTAATGATAATTATTATGGTAATGCATTGCAATGTATTACATGAACTGAAAGTGATGTGTAATGCCCAAAAATTTGCATTACATGTAATCGTAATATAATACATTACTTCATAAAATTCAGTGTAATGCTGGCATTACATAGCATTAATAAGCATCATTGTGTATGTATACCTACTTTATGAAATTAAAATGGACATGAAAATTAATGTTTAGATTATTCTTTATTTATTAATTATTTTATTTTTATTTTTTTTAATGATAAATATGAATGTTAAAAGCTAACCTATTTAGATAAATTTTCTATATCTATTTGAGTACACTTCTTATTCTGTTGAAAGTACACTAACCTTTCATTTAAGTTTTCATTTATTTTAGATAAGAATTGATTTCAAAGAATTATTTAATTTTTTTTAGCAGAGCAAAATGTACATAATTACTGTGAATCTTTTTTACAAATTTGTCATTTATCTTTTCATAAGGTACTAGATCAAAAAAGCCTTCGCTTTATTATTAGATATTTTGGGCAGGGGTTAAAGTGACCCAAAAGTTATATTACTTTATGACATCAATAGTTACACAAAAAGTGCATATTGTACATGTTTTATATTACTGGCAATTCAAAAGTTTGAACTTCCTATGAATGTAAGTTATTGACAGTGCAATATATGCAAGTACTTGAAATCAAATTTGAATTATGATTCATCATGCTTAGGTTTGAAGGGGGTGGATGCGTGCTTATGGAAAAAAATTGTTAAGTTTTGTACCGGGGGTTATTTCTATTTTTAAAAACCTTTAAAAGTAATGGTAATGGTAATGCATTACTTTACTAAAGTAATAATACTATAATTACTTTAAGAAAATAGAATAATGGTAATTTAATGCCCATCGCCAATTGTTGAAGCAATAATAATGTAATGCATTACTTCACAATGTAATTCGCCCCAAGTCTGAATACTGGTATAGCTTAATGCCATCGCCTTTAATAGACTGAAAAGTGTTTGAAAATTCATCGCTCGAAAGGCAATTTACTAGTGTATTAGTACTTGGTACAAATAAATTCCGTATTTTTATAAAATTGGCTATTCAATTGACTTGAATTGCAAAAGATGCAAAAGTCTTCCTGGAATTGTAATGAACAAAACCAAAATTATCCTGGTTGTGTATCAATCACAAGCTGTACTGTGAGTTTTAAAAAATTATTGATTTTTTTAAATCACATAAGATGCGCCCAAACAAATGAAATATCAAAGATAACAACTTTCTCTGCACTTTTTGAATCAAGTCTCTCTTCAAAATATCTCGATTTATTAGTTTTTTCTTTGACCACAGCATACATGTATGTGTCATTTATTATGTCGCAATTCGTTATTGTTGAAAATCACCCACATGACCTAAAACATAGCCGAAGTAAAAAAGTGAAAGATATATTTTTTTCTCTAGATAGGAGCCATTTTACAATTTATAAGTTCTCATAAGTGCTCATATACATTCTTATGTACAAATACCAAAATTATAGGTACTTTGGGCAATGAGCTCACTTAATACCTTCGAGCCTCCCATGTGGTTATAATGGCAAAGTCCATGTTTTGCAATCGGAGACAGGAAATACGTGTCAGATCAAAACGTAAAAGAGGGGTGCAAAATGACATTATGTTATAAACAATCTGTGAAAGTATCACTAAATTTTATTCAGTGGTATAGGAGGAGTTGCGGATAAGAGACGGGTACACTTCAATATTATAGGAAAAATGGCCGTACCCATGTTTGCTCTGGGAAACCCAAAACATATTGTATTCCTATCGAAAAGTAAAATAAAAGGTGTAACAAAGACTCTGTGAAAGTCTCATTTTTTTCAATGAGTGGTATGAGAGGAGTTGCGGATAAGAGATGGCTACCCCAAAGCGTAACACACGGACGGACAGACATACGGACGGACGGATGTGCGCACGGACGGGCATCCCGATCACTTTATACCCTCTTGCTTTTCGATAGATGGTACATAATATCACAAACATAATGGCTTCTTTGCATTGATTTTTTTTCAAATCTACAATTATAAAAAGCAGCAAAGCAAGAAGAAATCAAAAATACGAATGGCATTTCGATTTGGAAATATCATTATACCCCCCACTTGAAAAGCGGGAGGGTATATAGTAATCGGTATGTCTGGCCGTCCGTCTGTTTGTTAGGCTTTGCGATACCCATCTCTTATCCGCAACTCCTCTTATACCACTGAATGAAATTTGATGAAACTTTCACAGAATCTTTATTACATTTTTCCATTGTGTACCTTCTATTTTACTTTTTCATCTGACACATATTTTCGGTTTCCTGCAACAAAATATGGACACTCCCATTATATTTATATGAGAGGCGGGGGGTATCATTTAGTGAGCTCATTGCTCACAGTACCTCTAGTTTCAGTTAAAGCTGGTTGGTCGTAAACAGTTGTAATTTTTAAATTAAAATTGATTATATTGACATGATATCCAGTAATCTGATATTAAAAGATTAAAGTTTAAGGCTCAAATTTCATAACAAATTATAATTAAAAGATTTCAAATAACCTCAATTGAGAACATTCTAACAGATGTCATTTCCTCATTTTTGATATTGCAATCATATGAAACAGTGATCATATGAGAATCATATGAAACATGCAGTGTTCACTAATTTCCCTTGGTATATGCAAGTAAAATTGCAATTTCAATACTATGTATCAATAGTAATTTAAATGTACATGTACATTAATTCAAAAGAATTTGTTAGCAATTACTTATGTAAAGTTCTACTCTGTTTAACACCTCCCCCCTTTCCTTTAAAAAAATGTTCACAATTTTTTTTCTGTAATAATGTACTTCCCAGATAAAATTGATAAAGAATAAATTAATTTGCTTTTTATTTCAAATCTTTTGTGTTTGGTTTATTACTTGAGTAAAATCAAAAAATTCCATATTTTTTTAAATCAAAATTTGTTATAGAAGAGAAGTACAAATCCATGTATAGACATTAAAAGTATTGCACACGGGTACTTCATTTAGTGCAACTCTTCAACTCCAGGGAAGAACCCAATAAAGTTCAAACTACATTGTGTATGACCTTAAAATTTCATTAATAAAGAGTATATTTTTCTTCTTTTAAAGAGTATACATGTATAATTCTTATTAAAGGCCAGTGACTCTGTGATTTTTGCATCAAAAAGATGACAAAGCTTGAGATTTTTATGCTTTATCTAATAAAAGGCAAGAATTTATTCATTTTGTTAACTATTTGAACCTCCACAACTATTTCACTATGATTAATGTTGTACTGCTTTTGTAACAGTTTAATTTAATACTCTGAAATTCATGACTTTAACTTTCTAACGTTTACATTCTAATAAAAATCAATAGCACATACTTTTATTTTACTTCAAACGAATTTTTAAATATCTTATGAGGAATACTAGTATATCAGATGTTAAAAAAAGCATTTTAAAAACATGTAAAACGTGTCAAGAATTTTTACTTTTACTTGGATGAAAACAGGAATCAACATTAAATAGAACAGTAAGTTTAAAATACTTTTATATCCAGTCGGGGTAAAATTCTTTAAAACTAATTTCTGCATTTCTAAAGAGTTTAACCCTTTAACCCCATGAATATTTCAAATATGGTGTAAAGAGAGGGTCAAGGGGCACACTGTTTTAAACGTGTAAGTTATTAATTTATTAAGTATGACTTCTTTTTACTTTTCATTTTCCTATTTTACAAATGGCTATCAATTGCAAAACGAATTTATTAAGAGCAACGAAAGAGAAAAAAAAAGACTTTTGTACAGTTTGAAAAAATATTGAAAATAAGACTTCAAAATCAACAACATAGATAACGTCTTTCGAGCACAGCTTCCGACGGAACTTTAAAAATAAATATTATCTAACATTTAAAATAACAATAAAAATATTTTTGATTCAAATAAATAGAAATAAAATAACATAATAATGGGAAACCCTAGACTAGGATATTGAACTCTTTGTTTAAAGTATTAATTTTAAAAAATCAAGCTCTTAAACTTATACAAGTTAGTAATATCTTTATGTCGTTTTTACAGCAACATAGTTGTATGTAATAGTCATAGAAATCATAATAAAGAGATTTTTTTCGGGAAAAAAATACAAGAATTGTGTATCGTTTATTATTATTTCACTTCCAGTGTAGCAGCAATCTCTAGCTCTAACGCGACCTCTCAGAACATAATCTCCTATGATATCAAGCTATGTACAGTCATTTAAAACTGAACTGTAAAGCTGGTACAAGACACTTTATTACACTTTCACTAATATTGTAAGCTAAATCAATGGATCCTAGGATCTGAAAAATATTGCACTTTAACTAATTAGTCGACCAAGGGACTTATGAAATGATGAACTTTAAAACTGTTGATATTCTTGTTTATCCAACTTGCACACTGTACTTACTCCATATATTTCACTGATTCTCCTTTTTTCACTCCATGAAAATTTAGTGCTTGTGGGCGATGAATCTCTCAAAATTTCTAGTTTTTTAAAAGGAAACACAGCCTGTACGTATGTGTCTGTAATAAGGTTTGTGATTTCGAACTCTCTATTTATTGCAAGTTCCTAATTACTGAATGCATACATTAATAATTTCTTTTTTTAAAACTCCTGATAAGTGCATGCTCTTTTTCACATTAAAGACAATATTGTAAAAAATAAAATAAATGGTTTTTTACGCTGATATATCATTTTGCTTCTCAAAAGTGTGAATTACGTTTGATTATAATTATTTATAACATACAAAATAATATATTTTTTGTACCAGGTGTTACCTTACTTACCATATCCACTTCACCTGAACTTAAGGTAAAATTTCGCAGTGATACCAACCTTGTTCTAAGCTGTAATTATTCATTGGAACACGGAGAACGTATATCAGATAGAGAGATTAAATGGCAAAAACAAGTAGGAAATACTTTTGAAGATGTTGCGGTGTTTTCTCCTCCTGGCGGACAGGAATCCTTAATTCATCCTGACATGGCTACTGTTCTTGCAAATAGGACAAAACTTATCACATCAAATACTAGTGTATTCTCCAGTGCCACAATGATAATCCACGATGTTGTCTGCATGCAGTGACGAAGGATTATATCAATGTTGGATAGAGTATTTTGTCTACCCTGTGGATAAACAGAAAGAAAGCTTCACTTTAGTTACTTTTGAAGGTAATTTGTCAATAATATTGTTAAATCTTTTCTTCTGTATTTAGACAGATATAATATAAATTCAATAAATGCATGGAAATAAAAGTAAAAATGTAATATATCATTTTTCTCCAACCCATGGATATATATATAGAGTTGTTACAGTGTGGTCTACGTATCAAACATTCGTACTATATCATTACCAAGAGTAGAGTTTAACTAAACTCGTAATGTGCGAAAACTCTCCCTCTTCCTTGTAATTATGTTCCCCAAACGAAGTTGGGGAACATATTGTTTTTACTCTGTTTCTTATTATTATCATTATTATTATTATTATTATTTTTCTTCTTCCTGGGAAAATCTTTTCTGCGAGTGATCTTGTAAACTCCGACTTAGTTGAAACCTTTTTAGGGTCAGTAGGCATGTTATGTAGATTTGCGGAACGAAGGTCATTTTGCGCGCACGTGCTTGCAAGAGCGCGCACGTGCAACACGTGAAATGACCAAAATAATAGATATAGCCGTAACTTTTCTATTTTTTGATTATATGCTTTGATACTCATGATATAAGTATATATTAGTAGTACAGACGTGATGTCATGGTCAAAATAGCAAGATCTCACGCGCATGCACGTGCGCTTTGCTCTGATTGGCTGAAACTAAAGTCTCAATATCTTTCTTGTTTTACGTCATAATCCTTTGAAATTTTGAACTTAGTCACACATTATGAAGATCTTCAGCATGATATATAAGAATTATCATGAAAGCACTTACATGCACATGTGCTGGCAAGAGCGCGCACGTGCAACATGTGAAATTACCAATACAATAGATGAAGCTGTGACTTTTCTATTTCTTGATGGAATTTTTTGAAACTCCCAATGCATGAATATATCAGTAGTAAAGACAAGATGACATGGTCTAAATTGCAAGCTCTTACGCGCATGCACGTGCGCTTTGCTCTGATTGCCTGAAACTAAAGTCTCAATATCTTTCTTGTTTTACGTCATAATCCTTTGAAATTTTGAACTTAGTCACACATTATGAAGATCTACAGCACGATATATAAAAATTATCATGAAAGCACGTGAATCCACGTGTGCTGCAATCTGATTGGCTGAAACTTTACATGCCTATATCTTTCTTGTTTCTCAACAAAACAGGATTAAGTTTAGAATATGAATAGGTATTATGGATTCCTACATAATACTGCTATCAAAATTGAATGCAACACGTGCTTGCATGCACTTGCGCAAATGCAATGCGTAAAATGAACAATATGTTTAAAAAACGGTAAAATTTATATTTTTATTACTTTTTATTGATTTTTGGAATATAAAGATATGTTAATGGTTTAGACAACATGCCATCATCACCTTGCATGTGTATGCACTTGCGTCTGCGTGCAATGCGTTAAATGACAAAAAGTTGATATCATTGTAGCTTTTATAATTCTTTTATGAAATCCTGCGATACTAAGCATATTTTAAAAAGTTTTTTTAAAGGAAATTTGCACAAAAAGGGAGATGGGGAGCATTTGGGGAACATCTGTAACGGTCCCCGTTACAATTAGAACTAGTTTTTTATGGTCCGTATTAAAAATACCTCTTTTATCTTGTTGTGTTGCTATTATTGCATATATTCTGCCGATTAAAAATGCTTTGTTGTTATTTAAGCTCATACAAATTTAATTTAAACAGCTGAAGCTAAGACACCGGTAGATTTTGTTTTGGAACATCAGAAAGAGTTGGAGGAGAATCAGTCCATACATCTTATTTGTGCTGCTGATGTTGGAAATCCTGCGGGAAACATTAAGATCTGGAAAGTCCCAGAGAAAACAAAGATTCCAGAAATCATTTTCACTTCAAATTTATTGAACAATAAGACAAAGAACTGTACCACTTTTCTATGTAAGCACTAAAAACAAAGTTTCCAGAAATGACAACGGATCAAAATTTCTTTGTTCCTCACAAAATAATCTTACACAGGATCCAGGACCAGGAAGATACTCATAGGGAATTTCGGTGCTTTGTAAGAGTACTCTTTCCTTTAATAATTGTTCATCATATTGTGCATTTTTATATCAGTTTAAAATTTTGATATTTGTTCTTTATTTTTACTTTAACTTTTTGAATTCTACCTACAAAATTGCAGGAAATCCCCTTAATACACTATCTTAAATTTTTTGTGTTTAAATGTGGGTACCATGACTTCTTTTTTTTTAAATCTTAGATGGGACATCATTCTCTTAGTAGATATTTATTATTTTTATGCCCCCCCCCTTCGAAGAAGGGAGAGCATATTGCTTTGCTGCTGTCGGTCTGTCAGTCTATCAGTTGGTCCACCATCAGTTTCCGTTCATTTTGTTCGCAGAGGTTGGACGAAGAACATTTCTAATTATTTGGGGGAGGGGGCATAAGTGTTTTAATAACATCTCTTGTTTAAATTGAATCTTTATTTTGAAGATGAACCGGTGACGGCAAAAATTACACTTTTGCCATTCAAAGAGATGTACTTCGCCGGTGATTATTTGAAACTGGAATGTTTTTCTGATAGTAATCCGCCCCCAATATACAGCTGGACATTTCAATCTACCAACAATAGTGAAGATACAAAATATAATATCAGCAACAGGTCTTCAGTGATGCTGAAAAACCTGCAGACCAACAATTCTGGAATTTATGTTTGCTCTGCTTTCAATACGTTCAATGGGAAGAAGTTTTACGTTACATCTATGGTATTTATATCTGTCGGAAATCAACCTATACAAGGTACGTTACGGGTACACCTAGTGCAGATAAAAGCAATCCCTTTAAGAATTGTCATAGTCACTTGAATAGTTGTAATTTCCCATGATATGGATAGGATTGTCTTAGGGAAAGAATTATTTTAAGACTTTGTTCATGCCTATGATGTCTTTAAATTCAATATCGACAATTGTCGAGCTTGTTAGAGTAGTTCATTTTTTTATATAAACAATTCAACAAACGAGATCAAAAGATACGATTACTTTATTAGGTTAACAGTAACGCGTTTTTTTAAATACATCATAAGATTTGAGATAACATACTTTTAAAATTATGTATAATAATTTCATGATATATCATAAATAAATAATGATGCCAAATGGCATCTTCGGGGAAATATCGAACAGAGTAAATTTGATAAAGATGGGAACATCAGAACCCTGGCATTATTACAGAAGAAGAAATCTTGGAGAAATACGTAAGTATTGAGTGAAATTAAAAACGTTTAGTTTTCAGTACTGCAAATATTAAGAAAAAATTCAAGGTCCCTTCTATTCTGGCTGTTGGTGAAGATGAAGCTTTTTGCATGTAAGCCATTGGTCAGTCTTGTGGAGAACCACCGACAGATATTTATCGTTAGACTTCAGTTTGGCTGCAGAGCCGTAGCTCTCCGAATCTATTGACATGCTAGAGGGCTAATCCTTTGCCATTGTAATCTTTTTTATTTTACCAATGATAGTGAAGAGGAATAACAAGAATGTGTCTTATTATTGGCTATTAGAAAACCTTCAAAACAACAGTGCCGGAATTTATATTTGCACTTCTTTCAATTAGTTCATTGGAAAGAATGTTGAATGTTACTCAGTGTATTCTCTATGTTTCAGAAATCCAGGAATACAAACCACAAATACACTGATGTGCGTCTCCAACCCTTGCCTAATCGAGCCAATAAAAAACTTAGACATACTGTCTGAGACTTTATCCTTGAAAGTTGCACTGCTGATAATTATATTGCTTTTTTAGTATTTGCTTTGTGAACTTAAATTTTTTAAATTCTTTTTATTAATTATGAGATCAAACCAACAGGCTTTTTTAAGACGACTTAGACAAAAATTGGCAATACATGTATTTAAAAATAGCTATTTATTATATGCTCAAACAAATTTTAAAATTATTTAGTCCTATATTTTCTCTTAATTTACAAGTAAAAATGAGAAAACACAAAAAGATTATTCATTAAGTACCTTTCTTTATAATTCTAAAGATGTTTGAGCATCTTGAAAATTTTGATAATGTAGTACTGATTCTTTCTAAATCGCATCTTTTCTTTGTCTTCCGTCTTTTCATACTAAAGAAAAAGATAATGAAAAACGTTTTCATGAAGTACTACTTATTAACGTAATTACAATTAAAAATGTAAAGAAAAAAAGGAGTCAACACTTTCCTCTTAAGGATATGGGATATAGGGAAATGCTTATGTATCAAATTATACATGTATCACTTTATTTTCAGATAGTTGTAAAACTTTCATTGACCAGGGATTATTTTATATGATTTTACATTTACAAAATTACGGTCATGGGCGTTGAAAGCAAATTGAAAGTGTGTGTGTGTTGGGGGGGGGGGGGTTAATTGAAAGTGGGTGGGGGGGGGCTAAACCAACAAAAATAGGTTAATCCCAATTTCCAATGCCTATATTATGTCTATTTTTGTTTTCAAAAGTGGGGGGAGGGGCTAAGCCCCCCTAGCCCCCTCCCGGCTCCGACGCCTATGACGGTAGTTTTATAGGATTAAGAGTTGATTATAAGACAATGTTTGAATTCTAATAACGAAGACACGTGGATTAACTAGTGCTTCCATTGCTTAATGCATCATTTTTTGCAAATTTAAACACTGAAATAAGTCAGGTTTAGGAGTATTGATTTTACAAAATAGATATGTGTGCAAAAATACATTCTCTCGTGGTCGAAGTTATACTAGTATACGGTCAGAAGTATGGGGAGAGTGTAAAATACATTATATTATATCGGAAAAAATCATTGTCTGTAGGAAAATCGGTTTTTTTTATCTTCATCAATCATCAGCCATCAAACCTAGAATCTTGTTACAACCTGTTTTCCTGGAGACAAAGTTGAACAAATGAATTCAAGATAAAATCAGTTAAGTGGCATCAGTTCGTAGAAATATACAAATGAATAAAGATTGAAAATATCTCATGCTGTAAGCTTCGTTTGCAACAGATAGTTGAAGGAATCAAAATTAAATAACTCGATTATTTTACTAATTGGTTAATAAAAACAAGGGCTTAACCCCTTAACGACGAAGTGCGCCTTTTGACGCATTTTCAGCATCACAGTGATTTAACTGTTGGCGTTTCGTAAATAATTGGGATACAACAAAACAACTGATATTTTCTGAAACTAGAGAAGAAACACAACAATTTTTCTAGTGTAAGTTTTTCTCTGCAATGTTAAGAAATTATCGAAAACTTGAATTGAACATTGAATATAATTGCGGGAAGTTAGTAAAATTGCGCATAAATGAGTGATTTTGTGCTATTTTCTGTAGGTTGTATCTTAATTACAGCATACGATAAAAAAAAAATGAATGCCATAACCTAAAAGCTGGGAATTTTCCCTACATTTTCTCTATTGGACATTGAAAGGTACGAGTATCCGTTACAGAAATATTTGCTTTTGAATATTGGAATTTTTTCGAGTAAAGCGAACAAAATGTACTATGACGTCATCTAACGTTTTACAGGTACACAATGAGATCGTTCATAAGCTCGGTGTAAAATAAATCGAATTTTTTAATATATGGAACAGATTTATTTTTTTAAAGGAATTATTAATAAAGAAGAGTTTATATACGAGACGTTTTGAGCCATAAACATGTAATAAAGGGAATTTTCCTTAGCTTTAGAATATTTTATATATAGTAATAGTTCTTGACCCAATGCCCCCATTTCGCGCACCCACGGTTTTCAGAAATCCCTGTTGAATTTTGTGTCATTCCTACTTGTAGTAGGAATAATTAATCAAGTAATTAGGTATTGTAGTTACCATTTTCTTACTCTAAGGATTTGTCATTAAATGTAAAAAAAAAATATACAAGCTTATAAATCTTTTTTCGAGTCCTTAGTCTAGTATTTTAAATGTACTTTGAAAGGAAAACCTGTCACAACGACGAAACATATTAGGTATTAAAATTGACGAAAGATTTATTTTTCCTAATGCACAAACTGCATTTAACTGACGCGATGATTTTCTTACCCTTATCTTTATCAAATATAAAATTGATGTATAGGAACATGAAAATAAAATGATGAATATACACTGTGATATTTAATTTTTAGAAATCAGGAAACTTAATTTCGTTTGATTTCTGTTACCATGGTTGTTATATACACAGGGAGAGACATAGCACGGAATGGTCATTCTACAAAAACAAGGGTGGACAATTATGTTTTTTTTTTCATGTCACTTACATGTGTACAAATTTGCCGTTTTAATATCTTAACTATAAATTTTAGGATCGCTTTCAGCTTTAAGATATAACATAAACGCATGTTGTTGTTTTTTTCAATATTTACCGATATATATGTAGTTAAAGTTTAGATATGAACATCATGTAGGCCTAATTCCACTGCAAATCTTAATGTCGCTTCATTTATTTACAAATTTCAAGACGGGATTCTCAGCCGTAAAAGCGTTTCTAACAGATTGCGATGGATTTTAAGGGGATGAAGTATGTATGGTCACGTGACTCAGTTGATTTACGTCATAATCTCTTATAAAATATGTACAAAACGAGATTGAAACCACAGTACTTGTATAATGTTTTTGACTGTTTGTTTGCGTTCACCATCTAGTATGAAAATATCTGAAAACATTCAAAATTTCTTGCAAATATTATCAAATTACGGAATAGATTAATCCACACTGCCGTTTCCCTACTCTGCGCGTCCAGTGCGTCTTTGACGTCATAGTGGATCTCATAGTTCAGTAAGATCATACACGGTAAAAACGGGTAGTATAAAATCATAAAAACGGGCCATTATATGTACATGTTAGGGTATTTTGTAAATTTCAGAACGCAAAAAATATTTTTACATGGTTGTTGCCGGAAAAGTTCTGTGGGTTTGTCTTATTT